TTTAATTAAACCACTAGATATATTATATTTCAAATGAAACATCTTTCGATTAGTTAAAACATATACATATATTATCAAAGGCTTGGCCATAAAATATAAATAAATATCGTTATAAAGTCATTTTGTCTGTTTGTACCTACATACATGTACAATAATAATTGTTATACGTAGACACATTCACCCCTCTGAAAGGTATAGAATCAACTGTCAGAGAAATGACGAATAATTGCACTTTTCTTTTAAATGTACAATACTGTTCTGTCTGTCTGAAATTTCATACATCAGATGTGTATTCTTTAATAAGCTTCTAAATTTGAATGGCAGTAAACTAATTGTACGATTTTCTACGCTGTGGTTCATACCAGAGAACATCGTGACATAGGTGGAAATGTTTATCGTAATTTTTTCTGGCGGGCAGGAGCAATGTGGATAACAACTTTGTTCAGAAGTGCACTTTAATACAGTTTCTGTTTCCCATGAGACACTCATATCGGATCTCAGTATTCCAGAATTGTGTCAAGAGGTAGATTTGGCAAGTATCTCTGATTCAAGAGCTTCTGTTGTTCCAACCTCTTTTCCGCGATGCCCACAACAGTTAGATTAAAAGATCATTTACATTCATCGCAGGAATTGTTCGAATTTTTCGGCGAAGACTATCAACGGTACACGTAACCGGAGGTAACAGGTGTTTCCAAACTCAGCCAACTTATGCTACTAATTTGAATTATGCCGTCACACAAAAAGAGATCTGGCGTAGTGGAAGGCGACGATATGAAAGGATCATTGAGCCCTACGAATGCTGTGCCCCTCTTACTCGCTGCATCGTAAACGACCTTCCAAAAGAATCTAGGGACCAGCAAAGGTTTACTCGAACCAGGTTCGAACACGGATATTTGACGTTACTGCCCACGAACGTCTGACATGGTCATCCGGCCATGAACACCAGTGAAAACTTTCAGATGCAATAAACGTTGCGCTACTACGAAATCTCTGATAGACGACTCCAGAATTTCCCAGTTTTTACAATTAAAGGTGTACTTTAACGGATGTATCTTGGACGGAGTTTTCTGGGGATTCCCCTGAGATTAGTTCTCGTCAGATTATTGTTAAGAAGGCCCACGTTTTAGGATTATAAAGGGCAGTGGCGTCCTAGTGGGTTACGGCCCGCACCGGATGATACCATCGTGGAGGTGACACTTAATGTTTTCAAACGTATGTTAAAAATTACATTTTTGCCAATTTGACAACTGTAAGCCCTTTTCTGCTCTGGTATAGAATTCGAAATTCTCCCCCATTTTAATTATCAAATATTCGTGTCTGAATTTGTGAATTTGCATAAATTTCCACAATCCACTAATGAAGTTTCCTACATAACACAAATATACCCCAGCATTTCGTGAATTGCATCAATATCATTGGTTATTTTGGCAATAATTTTGCCAGACGATGGTAGAGGCAATTTATATCTACGGCGAACAAAGAGAAAGCGAAGCGTGCAAAGTGGTGTAATTTAATAAATCAAAGATTGGCCCCCGTCAGTGGCAGGAATAGCATTTTAGTCGCGTCAGCGAACCCTAAAATGCTACAGAGGTGCGTTGAGGGTGTTGTTTAGTTCTGAGTTTCTCTAATAATTCCATTTATCAAGTCCAATTTCCTATCCGCCCCCCGCCCCCCTTGTTTCCTGTTCGTGAGCTGCGGTGTCCGTCATGTCTATATGCGTCCAATAATGTGGAAACAACGGAACTATAGAGATGGAACATTAATGTCGATCCAACGGGACTTGAACGATGCACTTTGACACTGAGCGCTGTTTCCGTCTCTAGAGAGAAACGCGTCCCACCTAATTACACCAGATTCGTCGTTCTCTTTAACGATGCATTAGTGCATCTATCTGTCATTTCAATTCGAAATGCTTGTATGGGGCATTCGAATCTCTGGCCAGAACGGCATTGTACAGACTCTGATTGCGTTTAATATTTACATTCAATGGTAAATAACGACGGCTGGTGGATGAAATTGAAATATGACTATACTTTTTTTTTTTTCGTAATGGAACCATCTGTTTGAATCTCCTGATTGAATTGTTCGAAAAGTGAAGGCCCTACTAGATATTTCATAAATTATATTCGTGGTATATAAAGACAGTGAAACTCTCTATAATCATTTGGGAAGTTTATTAAGATTTTGCGAATTTAACAAAATGGCAAGAGACTTTAAATTTGAAATGTATTCCTGTCCATTAGATTCGTATAAATGGCGTATGAATTAGGGAACAAGCAGTTGTATATTTAAAGTAGTATAGTTGTCGGCTTCACCTCGAAATTAACACTAAATTTGCTAAGAATACTTTATTAATCATCTATCGATCTAATCTATTGATATTTGGTAATATTTTAACTACATACTTTGAAGCCGTTTGCAATGGACACGTAAGTTGTATCAATAAGTGCGTGGAGTTCAATTACGGACTGTCTGAGGCTTCAATAAGGTCTTCATCGCCGGTTACAATAAGGTCAAATGACATAATTTCTGACGCTGGTGTGGTCTTATTTTACGGCTACATTGTATCTATAGCCTTTAGATCTATACCTTTGAAAGTAGAAATTAAATATAATTTCATAAGAATTTTCAATAATTATAAAGTTTCAAATTATCGAATCTTTGTATAAAAAAAATAATATTTTCAGCAGAGTTACTATAATAAAGTGGCTATTTTGTGTGCCAGAACAATCATTATTAATGATTACAAACAAGTTAACAACAAGATGTCGATAATTTCGTTTAAAAATCGAAAGATGTTGGTGCTCGAGCAGCCTTGCTTATTTATAGATTGTCTTACACAAAAACTTTTAGCATCGAAAAGCGGACGATGTCGTTTTCCATAATTCGTTCAACGTCGAAAGAAGAAGTTAAATAACAAAAAGTTTCGAGCTGAACGAGGACCACTATACACATATAAACTTTTAAGATATTGATTGCAATCCTTTTAAAGCGCGTGGAGATGTTTATACTATTTTGACAAATCACTTAAGCGATATATGTATACCGATATGGTGTATTTCCTATTATCATTTATCTTCATAAGATAGTAAACAATAAAATCTGATCAAGATGATTCTATCGTGAGATATGCTGGGGCTCATCTTTGATCGGTTATCGTCTTATCGCGTCAATTAATTATCGATACGAATCTTCGCGTTTTCAACAAGAGAAATTTATCTGGAAAAACGTATTGTCCCAGAAAACATGTAACGAATCATTCCATGAAATTTGACAACTTTTGTGAGTAAATGACAGTATTAGAGTTTAGCGCGTCAATGATGAACTTATCAAAATAAAAGAGTTTGCAATACTTAAATTAATAAATGACTTGTAAATGAAAATCAAGGGGCAGGGTAAAGTATGAAATGTCTTTCAGTTAAGAAAAACGATAACCGATCTCGACCTTTCATGGTGCGATGCTCCTATTATAAAGAGGTTGCATAAAATTGGTGACTCAGAAAGGACCATCTTGAGTTTGTTGACTTTATTGTGTCACTTTCGACCCTTTTCCTTTATCCACGTGCTATAAGTACCAAAGTGTTCTTCGAGAGGAACGATATGATCGTTAATAAGTACATCAGCAGTCTTTAGCTTCATACTGGTAACGCTTTGGAGGAAAGAATTATGATAAAAGTATTTATCGTGTCTAATGCTGTTTTATATTTTCAAGCGTAGACATTTCTATAGTGCTTAAATTTATAACATCTCGATTATGAAACTCCAGGCGTACTTAAGTAATTTATTATCGTACCACTACTAGAAGGTCTTGCGACTGCATTTTATAAACTGTTTGGGTTTTTCCACTAATTTCGAACTCGCTAACCGTAATACATACCACAGAAATATTTTCTGTTTTATTGTTTCTTTAGGACCATTTCCCTACCATGAGTCATATAAATACGAAATTCACCTTTTTCTTAATCATTTCTTGTTCGTTCCTTGGAGAAACAATATTCGCTCTAACGTATTGAAAATGCCGAAAGTTGCAGATTGTCACTGAAAAACATTCTGTAGTATGTGTGTTCGTCGTGGTGAAGGCTCTTCGATCATTGAAATTGCAGATATCCCTAGCCACTGTGAGAGTCAGTCACCTTTACTGATACATTTGTTTTTGGACACAGTACACAGCTTGATCGTGTTTATTAGTTAGAGTCTTTAGTCAGTCAGGGGTTTAGTTATCCAACACTTGGGGGTGTTTAACACGTTCGCTACCAGGTATCATATACCATTCCTGATAATTAAAGATAGAGAAAAATACTATTCTACAAAGACTTGATAAAAGTAATGTTCTAAAACAAATTGGAAATGATTTGTATATACTGATCCCGTAACTTTTGTGATATCGTAACAGAATTAATGAGTTACTGTTCCATCAATCATGAACTCTGGTCCCATACTTTCTTCATAAAATCAGAATCTGTTTTCAATATTTACCTATATTTCATGTATCTTTCTACAACCTGGCCAATAAGATAAATACATTCCACCGAAGAGAACGATGGAGACCTAGAGTGGACGAACGTTTCCCAAATAATACGATGGTAGCGAATCTATTATGGATTTCTTAATCAACGATCAAAGAGACTGTTTAATTCGTGACATTTTTACATATGCCCTACAGGACATCCCAGAATATTCCATTTACATTCCGAAAATCCTACAAATCCCAATGGTCCGATCAGAGAGGCGTGTCCACTCGATCGCCACTTGGATCATTGCGAGGGCATTACAGATTTTGCAGGAATACCATAAACGCACGCGTCATCAATATTCGACGAATTGATCAGACACCCTCCCGTTACTGACTGGCTTTAATAGAGCTCCGGTCGCTGGCTCTGGTGCTAAGCCAGATATCGCGTTTACGGCCGCATAATGGGTTCCGCGAATGATTCTAACGGGTGTACAATCGTCGGGTGGATTATTATCACTCAGCCTTGTTCTTTTTGTTTCTGTTCCAGGGGACCATTCAGCGTTGTTCGGAAATGTATTCACCGGCAGACGGGGCAGACGTTCGCCGTAAAAATCGTCGACGTCGCGAAGTTCACCTCCAGTCCCGGTCTAAGTACAAATGGTGAGTCCGCCGGGGGAGAACCGGAATGCACCGTACATCTACACATCTCTCTCACTCTTTCTCTGTAGTTCTGCCATTAATTTCCGTCGCCCGTTTTCGAGACATAATGTATTCCGTGTGCTTCTTGCCACCGGTGTTTCCCTATTCTCTTTTACGGCCTATATACAGGCACACATACATACACTTACATAGTACATATAGCTGCACGGTGTCACGAGTCGCGAATTCGTGCCCGCTCATTGTGAAATTCAATAGGAATTGGTATTCGTTCGGTTCCCGAACGTGCGCGTCCGGGGATCTTAATCTGGACCACGTACCCTGCGGATGGCTTTTCTGAAATGAACTGTAAATCCTGATTTTGTTTGGCCAGCTCGACGATCCATGTGATTCCGTTAGTGTTATTTGTTGACGAAAGGAGATATCGATTTCGCCGTGTAATTGGGACACGAATGTAGGTTTATATCAGTGCTTCTGTAGGAGTGGGCCACGGAATTATACGATTAATGTAATCGCTTCTGCTGATATAAGTGATAGGGGTCGTTGCACGGATCGACAGACGATGGGACCACATAAGCTCCGAAGATGTAAAACGAAGAGAAATTTTTTTGTAGTTAACACTTTGTTTATAGTTTCTGTTGATAAGCCACTGGTTTATTTACATTCAATTATCTTCGATGCAAGATTTCATTGGAGGGACTCACACGTTGATTGAAATGGGAAATTGTATAATAATGGACCATGGTTGGACAAAATGTAATAGAATTACAGAATCTAAACTGCAATTATAATGTAATTGCAGGACAATTATAATTACAATTAAATTGTAATTTTTATCGCAAATTTAGTACAGTTAATTACAATGTAATTGTAATTGTCATTGTCTTGTAATTACATTGCGATTACATTGCAATTGTGATTTGGATTTTGTAATTAGATTACATTTTGCCCAACTCTGTCCGAATATTTTTGTGACATCAAAATTCGCTTTTTTTTTGTTTTTTTTTCTTTATTATTTAAGTAATCGTATGTGGTGAATCGACCATTCTTTTTTTTTAATTTTGATATTAATTTCAGTTCTGGAAAATCTCAAATTTCTAGTAAATTTAAATAAGGGTTGTTCTTTGCTTTAAAATTTAATTTCACAAAATCTTGCATTAACTCTCATACTTTAACACAGAATGGTATAAATAAAATATTTTATGATAGATTGTACTGTAGTTAAACGTGTGTTTTATAAATAGAAATTGAACGGTAAGAATATTCTCATGTATCTACAAGTGACGTATTGTTATCGTAAAAGTCTATCGACGACCGACGAGTGCTCTTTGATATACAATAACAGTCAATATACAGGATGTCCGCAAATTTCAGTGCATACTATCGAGCAAAGTGTGATACTCTATGAAAAAATAAATGCTAAATTAAAAATAAAATTTTCTTTAAATAAGGTTTCATCTTCCAGAAAATCGATGTTGCAAAAATGTACGCTGTACAATTACCTTTTGAAACAATTGCCCAATATTGATTTGGTGGGCAATAAGACGGGATTTTGAAATACTTGTCCAATATTAATTTGGTGGGCAATAAGTCGGGATTTGGAAACAATTGCCCAATATTGATTTGGTGGGCAATAAATCGGAATCTCGTGGCGAACCACGGTGGTCAAGTCTATGCCTCATAAGTTGTAAGTTTCAACCCCAGGTGGATTCGAAAGGTAATCCACGCGTTTAGGTTCGCGACAGAGTAAGTCGAATCGTAATATCGTTCAGCCATGAATTACAATTTCACATAAAACAGTAAATAATATGTGAAGTAGTTATACCAAAAAGATTAATAAAACAATCAGAAAGCTTTGCAAGCAAGTACTTCTAGTCGTGTATATTTTTGCATGTCTAATAATAAATATTATTATTTTTCTATACTTACGTGTCTAAGAGACGCACGATTCTAATAATAGCTAAAAAGAAGCTACGTCGCTCTAAGGGTTAATAATATTACGATGATGCATCATAGTTCGAACGTAATTTGAAGATGCTCGGACGTCATAGAACTGATGTAACAAATTTATAAACAATTATTTCAAATATACAGACTTGAAATCTCAGTGACAATAATTGCATTATCTATTAACTGATGTCAGTTTGATTAATCGATTATAAAATATTTAATTTTTGTTTCATACTTTCATATTATTTACGTCAGTAGATCGTGTCACATTTTGCCGTGAATGATGTATAGAAATATAAATCACACAACAGCAGAAATAAAGTTTCATAACGTTTGCTGCAGATCTGAAGCGAGAGGCAACGATATGCCACATGTTGAAGCATCCCCACATTGTAGAGCTGCTCGAAACGTACAGTTCGGAGGGTATGCTGTATATGGTGTTCGAATAGTAAGTACAACGACAACAAATTCTTTAAACATTTACTTCAAAAGTTAAACCTGACTTAACAAAAATTTCATACAAATAGCTTTCTTTTTCTATCAGCGATGTTTGCATGAGCGTGGCGATGTCTTGGCTTCAGATTCATTTGAATTTGTTTTCCACGTAGTTTCTTGAAAGGCTCTTTAAAGACGTTTGCTCGTACATAGATCTCAGTTGCGTTTTTCTTTCACGTGTAAAGTTAGTCTACACTTTTACTTTTATTTCTTCCGGAAGTTCCACGATACACCGTTTCCTAGGCCAGGGGTACTTTTTTAGAGACCATTTAAAGACGCTGTCATTTAAAAATGTACGTCTTATTTAAACTTGCTCGATGTTATACAACATTAAGGTTAATGACTAGTTGAACTTTATGCATGTTTCATAATCAAAGTTCAACGTACGGAACTGTTCGTTCTGTTGGATAACTTTACACGGTATGTCCTAAAAGTTTGCGAATCAAAGTTAAAACAGTAATCTTTCGTATGATATTCACGCTTTTTATCACGAATTATTCAAACTAGCTTCCTTATAAAGTGATGTATTATTCACGATAATTATACAAACATTGGAAATAGCTGTGGTAATTCTTCTTCACTATGGCGAAGCCCTGCGAGTGTAAAAATGATTTTAGATCATCGTTTCTTTGTGTTTGTTTCCAATTTGAATAAAAGGAATTTGATGTAGGTGAATTAGATGAATACGGTGGATAATCAAACTATGAGATACCTTTTGAGACCAAAATGTTGCGTAAACTCATGACTCGTGAAGTCAAAAGTTTCGACCGTTGTGCTTTCCGCCATCTTGGAGCAGAATTATCCGAGCTATTTCCAAAGTTTCTATAATTACTGCGAACATGTCTCATTAAAACAAAACTACTTATTATGTTTGATGATAAAGAGCATCGTCATTTTACGGAAAACAGCTACTTTAATTTCAGTTTAGAAACTTTTGGGACAGACAGTGTCTATTAAGTACGTACAAAAGTAATAACGTCTTTTTCCAACAATTATTACAGTATCTGTATTCGAAATAGTTTCTCTCCTTCTGTATAATTGTTTGCTATTTTTCTTGCAAAACTTTACTTCACATTACTTTTGCATATATGTACTTAATGCAATTCTTCCATCTTTAATCAGCCTATGTGTGTACGTCTGCCTAGTGTCTTGGAAGTAATCTGTAGTATGACATGAATTAGACGTGACTTTTTATAGACACACATGTATCTCGGGATACAACGAATGCTGTGATAAGAGCCGGCGAAACAACGTTGTGGACAATTGTTATCGGTCCCGAGTAACACATGATGCGTGAAGCCTTATTATTCACGAATCGTAGCAAATATATTTTATACAAACCGAATGATTTAACATAATTATGTAACTACGAGGTACCATTTCCTGCGTAGAAATTCACATGCGTATTAATTATTGGAAATCGTAGACTGCATGGTTAAATATTTTTGATAAAAAATAGAATACTCCCTAATTATGAAAGTAAATATTTTACTCCTTAATAAAAAAAAGAACGAAATAAATTTTTCTTCGTGAAACAATAAAATTATTGCAGACATCTTTTTCTTAAAAAAATATTACAAAATTTAATTTGTAAGTAAATAACTTATTTTAATTAAAAACTAAAAATACATTACAAGGTATCTTTATTTTTTATGCTGTCGTATATTGATACACTGTATTATGCATCTGGTGTAAAGTACGTACACAGCACGGTGACAGCAAAGAATGACAAACTTGTGTTTTTTTTTCAGTGTACTCGTATGTCGCCGAGACTTGTAAATTCTATGTTAATGTTGCGATTCTGTTTCAGTATGGATGGCTCTGATTTATGCTTCGAGGTTGTTCGAAGAGCGACTGCTGGGTTCGTGTACAGTGAAGCGGTTGCTAGGTAAGACAATCTATGCACTGTGAGTATTAGATTATTCTAAATTTAAAAAAATATCAATCTGTCATCTGTGGTTCATCAAATTTTTATTTCAAATACTATTATAGTGAGGTTTCGATAATTGTGTCTTATTCCTGTGAGACTGTTCAGGAATAATTCACAGGTGTAGGTTACGATTCATCACTCTGTGCGAGACGAATCAGTGAAATAAACTTATAATAAACGAGGCAGAGGTACAGTGACGAACCCTTGCCTATTAATAGCCAAAATGAGTCTTTTGCCAATAAAAATAAAAATTTATACCGTTTTCAGTATATTGTTATTGTATCGTAAAGATGGGTCCGGGCACCTAATAATGTGTAATTATACATAATTTGAATTATTCTCATATTTTTCAAATCAAAATATTCTTCGCGAATATTATAATTATTTTATATATGTAATTGTCGTCAGAATCTTACTAATTGGTAGAACTGCTACGAAGATAAAATGGAAAATATGAGAGCTTAAAATTTCATTAGAACATGAATTAATTTGCATTTGAGATACATCATCAGGTGCAATTAATTGAGCAGGATTTCTAATAGTTATCTTTACATTGCTGTATGCACTTGCCTGTAACACGAATACATAATCTTTGTGGTATTCCTCAACCCCATTACTAACAATTTATCGCTTCATAGGGACTTCTTGAACATGAAGATATATCCTACAAAATGAGTAATAGAATTGAACTGTGATATACCGCAGGCTATTTACGTTATCCAGTGTAAACGTTTGAAATTTTCTATTTAATCACCTGAAACTAATTTTTATTTAATGGTAGTCCTCACAAGTTCTATACTATTAATACTAATTAACATCCATACATACTAATTTCTTTCTGTTCTTAAAAGTTTTATTAGATTTACAGTAAAATGATGAATTGTACGAAACTCGATAGAGACTATTTTTATATTATATTTCAATTACATTGCCTGTAAAGGCAAGTTCTGTCGTTTTGAAACGAATCGAAGATTCTTAATGTGTTCTAATGCTGTTTGGTGAACGGGGCGATAATCGAGAGGAGTCTCTATATACATGATAAATCAGTTTAATAACGGTAAAATTATGTAATATCTCTATTACATAAAGTACGGAGTAAATTCCCACTCTTATTACATACGTGCTAGAATAATTACGATAATTTTTTCCGAGTTAACATTAGCGATGTTTCAAGTAAAAGGTATATTTTTAAGTGGCGGATGGTACTTTTGATTTAACACTGCGTTATAGGAACATCCCGGCCGCTATTTTTTGCCGTTTAACGAGCAGCCTGTCTGTTTGCAGACGCTTGCTTTGAATATTACGTCTTTGAAAGCAAGTGTCATTTCATTCGCGATGATTCCGACCTCCTGTTTATAAATCCGATCGTTTCTGTTGGATAGCAGCAAATTACTCGGCCTCGTGATGGACAGTGTAGACAGACGTCAGGTCCAAAACTGCCCGTGGACGCATTTGCAAGTTCAGATAGCCCCTAGCTGTTATTACTTCGAGCGTCTGTGGCTAGCAGGTTCAGATGAAACGAACCGATTTATTTTCGCGATTTAAAACCAGCCCCTGTTCCACGAACGATTTCACTGCCGCGCGCGCTGGATAACGCAAAAGCCACAGGTATTCCGATATGACAGTATCAATGCGGATGTGAGAAATTATTTCAGATCAGTAAACGAAGCGTTTAATGTTCTCTGCATTCATCAAAATGTTCTTTACCAATCACTTGTAGTTGTTTCACAGATTATTATTAAATACTCAATGTTATAATGTAATTAAGTTGTTTTGTAACTGTCAGGTAATTTGTTTTTAAAAATTTTTTTATTTTGTACAATTTACTGTACCATCTAAATTCACTATTAACACTTTATTAACCGGGATCTTATTAATAGGCTTTTAAATTTCAGTGCTTACAGATAAAAATCCTATTAATACTACATCAGAGTTACAGAAGAAATTGTTACGTTATTCTATTAGAGTTTTTGCTATTTTCCATGAATGTAATTTGCTACTGCGATTGAACTGTTTAATAAAATTTCCTTAGCTGCTGATCGTTCGATCTACTGAACCTGTTAAATAGCAATCGATAGATAATGTGTTAAACCAACCATTCTCCCCATTAATAACAATGATTCACTCAAAAAAAGTATACCCTAATGCCCACAAGCTAAATCTTACGAACACACGGGGGTAAGTCTTCCCGAATAATCAAGTCCGACATGATTCATCACCTCATTTTTTTTTCCATCTCCTCCAGCGTGGAATCTTACACGAAAAACAATGATACAGCTTCGTGCTAGTTTTACTGCATATTGTGTCCCAGCAGACCTCGAGACCGTACTCCGACAGCTTCAGAAAGCAACAAACACGCGTTCGCTTCCCAACTTCGCTTCTCCGTCCGGTAGGTATAGAGAGTATAACCCTGGCTTTCGTTTTCCAGCCATTACATGCGACAGATCCTGGAGGCGTTACGCTACTGCCACGAGAACGATATAATTCATCGTGATCTAAAGCCGCAATGCGCCCTCCTGGCGGGCAAGGAGAATTCCGCCCCGGTGAAACTACGCGGGTTCAGCGTCGCCGTGCAACTTCAGTCCTGCCAGGCGAACGGCGTCGGTATGTTCACCACCATTTTCTCTTTCTCTTCTGCTTTCTCTCTCTCGTTTATGTTTTTTCTGCGTGTACAATCGTTCCAGAGAACGTATGTACACTTTACTATGCACACTCGGGGGAACACCGCACGGCGTTAGCTCTCTTCAATAGCCCCTTTTCGTGTCGATTTTCACCTGTTCATTCACCTGTTCTTATTGCGTCTGTAGAACGTTTAACGATGAATCCGACGATATTTTACAGCGCAATTATTTTGCAGAGATTGTTCGAATTTTTAACCCTAGGTAGCGTCATTTTGACCTGTAGTAAAACTTCTCTTGCACGCAGGTTTCAAGAAGAAATTATGAATAAGATTCTATACATATTCTCAAGTTCATATATTACATTTACATATGACTAATAGGAATACAATAGCTACAGATTGGTCAAAATGACCCTGCATTCGCTGTACGAGGGTTAATATTCGCTGATAGTCTTGAGACGCTGATTTATAGCAGGTTCTCGAGATTTACTTTACCTGGTCATTCACCTGTCTTTAGTGCGCCTGTATAAAGTCTTTTCTAAGTAGGTGTAACGATTGTTAATTATTATCATTATCAGTAGTACGAAAATCAGAAGAAGTATACTGGAATATAAAAAATATTAATATGAAACAAGGTTAAATGGGACACATGTTCATATGACTTATTGTTATAGTTTTTGTGTGCCTAATTCACGTTTGAAGTTGTGTCCACATGTTTTGATACGACCTGTATAACGGGTCTCATCTAGATATTAGCGTAATGCAGGAAAGCGATAAAGTCACATATCACTTTTAATGTTCTATAGCACAGTGACGCGGGAGAGTAGAATACTAAAGTTGTTTAATCGACTTGTTTTTACGTGTTATAAAACTTTTTATCCGATAGACGCGTAGCTTATCGCTTGTTTTACATGAATGGGTAGGGCTTCTATTATACTACAGTGTCAGGTTATAGTATCGATACAAAGAATATTTTTGTGTACGTAAAGAACTGTTGAAGTTCAATAGAATCTAAAGGAAGAATAATAAAAATTTGAAATTCCTATCTTTTTAAATAAACACAATATGAAGATTAACATGGAATATGTACAATACAACAATTAGAATTAAAGAGACATTTATTTCAAAATTTGTTTCATTTAAGTGATTTAATTTAAATCTGAAAAGAAGTGAAAAAAATTACATCATTTAGTCAGAAAAGAATTACATTTCATCAGTAATGCAAAATATCAACTTCAGGATGTAAAATTATCGAGAGAAAAGGTGTTGCTCGTTTGATTAAACTGTTTCGACATTGATTGTCCCGTAATTCGTTAGCCTTAGATCAATTTGAATCGATGCTTGCTGTTTCCTATGTCATAGACTGTGACAGGGGAACTTGTAATTAAGCCCGTTGCGCAAATAAACGGTGCGCTGCAGTAATTGAAATGTTTCGTTTCAACGTTTGTGAAGTGCAAGTGGCAATCAATTGTGAATGTTTTCTGCCATTTTTATGGCGAATTGCTATAGAGTCTGAGAAATTAACCCATTCCAATTTTTCATACGATTCTTATTAATTCCAGAAGAGAGCTAACATCGTTTAGATTAATATTACCTATTACCAAATGATTTCTTTTAGCTAATAATATTTTACAGTTACAGTTAGCATCGTTTATTAATACTAAGGCACATATACGCTTACATACTCGAAATTTACAAATATTAGAAAGGCATCATTCAGTACTGATTTATAAACTTCTCGACAAATGTTACTTGGAAAATAACTTGGCGAAGACACTTTGGCACACGACGAGAATTATGGTTACTTTTTTCACTTAAAAATTTCAAATAGAATTCAAGTCTTACTTAGTTTATTAATGTCGTATTCCAAATGTAACTCGTATTTAAATTATGAACTTTTACACCACAGTAGCATCAAATTTATGTTCATATGTTGGATATACGACATTTTTTCTCTACAATGCAAAAAAAAAAATTTGAATGAGAGAGGTATACTTATTTGAACAAAATAATAATGTAATCATTATTCATCAGTTTTCGTTGTTCTGCAAAATATAAACTGACTTAGAAAATAGTATCCTCGAATTGAATAATATCGTGGCTCACACTGACATCGTGAATAATATTTAACATCTTCTTTTTGCATAAATTGAAAGAACCATCTTTTCGACGTGTCAAAACTCCACTATTTAGGGAGAATGATCTTAATGAATGTGGTGGAGCTGGTCGACCTCATTTCCATAAACAGCATTGTAGAGGGAGTGGAGGCTTTAAAAGATTCAACGGCGACGAGATGAGCTTACACCCTGTGGGTTAGGGCATTCTCGCCGCTGCGGGAGCGACATATTTGTAGACAAAGCTGATTAACGTCTCAGAAAATGAAAAGCGCCACTTAATTCCATGAAGAGACGATTCTTCGAAGTCAGGCCGTGAAAAAGAAGAGAAGAACCCTTCAGGCTCATCGAGTGTACCCAAAGTGTTCCGCCCCGATAGCGTGTGATAAATTTTGCATGGACCGAAAAAAAAAAACAGAAATTGAATGGTGTCTCGTCAATGCTATACTTCAAAGCGCGTCCAACGACAGAGTACATATCCGTTTCTTTTTTCTTGTTTTTTTTTTTTTATGTTTCCTTCTCGTACACCGGGACGGACGTGTTTTTGAATGAACAATCCGTCAAGAGTATACCCTTCAAAGACACTCGGTGTTTTTGTATCGTCTCTCTATGCTGAATGCCCTATTCTTCGTTATTGGCTGGCTTTTGGTCGATGATTGGCAGTCGTATTCAAAATTTTCTCGGTGTTCGGTGTGTGCAGTATGCAACGGCTTTTACGGTTCTTTTTTTTTCATCTGAAGGAGATCAAACGAAAAAAGAAAAGAAAAGAAGAATCTGTTCCATCCTGTTTACTTTCTTAATGATTATCTTCGTTGTTGTTTGTTCCTTATATGATCTTCTGTTGCTTCGATATCGCATGACTTCCACGGTAAGTAGTGGTCACAGGCTGATCGAGACACGTTTCTTTTAGTACATACTTTGAAAACTGAAACGTTCGTTCTTTTCGTTGGTACAGTAGAACCTCAATTATTCCTAATTGTTTTCATGTAATTGTTAAATTGTTTTAATTGTATGATCTTATATTGATATTTGGTAGTTTGACAGGATATAGCAGTTTACTTTGATACTCGTTTTGAATTTTTGACCTTTTTCCAATTTAAATCATTTTAACTACTTTATTGCTGTGAACCTACGATCTTCATATGCTTTATGAAATGCTTCGTCCTGCAAAGTAATGTGTATCTCTAAGTGTACGAAAATGCCAGTTTTATGGTTCACGAATTATTGCTTACATTGGGATCTTTAAATACCTAGGTACATAAGTCTACGGTCTATGAATAAGAGTGCGAACAATGATTATAATCGTTATAATATACAATATGGTTCATCAGTCGGCAAAATTGTCAAATTGTTGAAGAATTTCAATTGGAATCTTTTTGAAATTGTCATTAAAAATGCCATTTCAACGTACTAATTTGAACAAATTAATTGTTATATTACAATATCTTTGAACTATCAATTATATCGAATACGAAGGATTATTACAGCATTATCTATTAGATCAAATTTAAACTAAACACAAAACATCATCAGGTCTCTTCTGTTATTCATACGAATCGAGAAGTCAGTGCGATGTTCAGCGAAAACAATTACACTACCACATAAAAAAGGTATTCAATTAACGGTGCCGCTCGCTGCAATCTCATTCCTGAGGATAACGAACACAATTTGGACAATCGAGGTTCCGCTGTATTAACGTGCAGCCCTTCAATCGCGAAAAACAACGAACGACCATTCACAGATTACAGTCAGGTTATCTCGTAAATTTTCTATCACCAGAAAACAACTTTTAACACGATTACATTCTCGCTGTTTCGCTCACAATAGACACGAGAAAAAAAAAAAGAAACACAAATTTCCACGTGACCGTTCGTATCGCCGTTCTATCACCAGAAAACAACTTTTAACACGATTACATTCTCGCTGTTTCGCTCACAATAGACACGTGAAAAAAAAAAGAAACACAAATTTCCACGTGACCGTTCGTATCGCCCTTAAGAGCCGTTGATAAAATGCACTTTGTTCTATCAATCGATCTATCCACGCTCAGTTCTCGCGCGTAAATTCCCGGATCTCGACTCATTCATGCACCGCGATTCCCATAAAATCGATAAATCATTCAGTTCGAGTGGTCGGCAAGTAAAACTTATTCCAACGCAGCTGGTGAACCCCCCCCGCCCGTCCTCCGGTTAAAACTGATGGCAACACAGACACAGAGACATAACGATATATTCCTCCTGCAAGATGCACGGTATTGATCCGGTTGTTTGTGAAAGAATGTTACATAGAATCTAAAACGAGTGCTCCGGTATACATATATCTCGTCAGAATCCCGAGTCGGCCGCAATTCCGTGCGAGAGATACAAGAAACAAATACGATTTTAATTGAAACAAGTACATATTTCGTGGGCAACAAAAGCGTAATAGTAAAATAACAGAGATATTAATTTATTACTATATTTAGTTGGCTGTTTCCATCTTCCCATTCGTATTTTCTCCTTTTAACATGGATTCCAGCAACTAATTTTTTGCTGACAAATTATCATTACTAAATTAATAATATTTTACCTTTGAATTATTTCGTGTATTTCAATTTGATCGAAGATAAATATTGAAACTAGAGATGAATTTAATGACATAGGGTAAATATTTTTAATCTATTGATATTTTCCATTAGTTCTGGAAATATAAATTTAGATTATATTAATGTAGATGAAGTCACAATTCAGAGAGAGAAGGAATAATATCCTTTCTCGAATCCTCGCAGTAGAATGTTTTCAGTGCTATACTTAAAAGTTCTTTCGGAACACTAAGACGTTAACTCCACTGAAACGTAAGGGCCATCTAATCTTCCAAGTTCGAACTTTATTTGGCGTATCTGAGAACATTCCGAATATCTTCTTTTAATCTTCAAAAAAATATCTCGAACCCTCAATGCTCCAATTCATTATTTTAAAGATTTTATTATTATATTCTTCAAAGTACAAAGTTGTTCCTGCTATAATTTTATATAAAATAATTTTCTAATATTGTTGCTATTAAAATTATTAATTTCCATATTTGTTGCTTGATCAGCATTTTACCAATTTAGCACGTTATTAAAAGCGCTGTTAATCTGTCGGCCATTTAATGAGGGAACCTGTTGTGGATCGCTGAAGCGGCTTTTTCATTTTCAGTTTTTAATAAACAATGGTAAACATTCGGTATTTCGTTGCATAATAGATGTCTTTTTTAGCTTACATTTTGTCCTGAAAATAATTTCATGCTTCAAATTTATGGACAATGTATATTTCAGTACTTCGTTTCCTTTTTATTCAATAATCTTGTAATACGGGAGATACTAAAATTATTAACAATTTATCAATCATGTAAAACGTTAAAAGCTAGCAAGAATAGAATAGTTGGAAATTATTTTTTAATGAAATCAATAGTTACTGAAAATGAAACAATACGAATTATTGTAAGCTTAAAAAGTTAATAGAATAAAGATACTAGGATTGTTTTAACGAACGGATATTAGGAAACTAAAAATTCTAGTGATATATTCAATTTTTTAAATTATGTACCATAATCCAAGTTTGACGCAAATTGATGGAATTAATGGGATATAGTTCGTCTCATCTTCCTACCGCGTTAATATTGAAGACGAATCGAAATATATAATTCACAACAAAGCGTACCCATCTGGAAGTCGTTCATTAGTAATGAACAAACAGAACTTTTCAGCTACAAATTTAACATACTCTAAGGAAGTTTCATAATGCGACGAACATTCAAAATTTATAAGTTCGTAGTATTCGCCAAAGTGAATGAATAAATGCTTAAGCTGCATGCGACTACGAATTAACTTTAAACAACGCATTAAACGTCCTCGTATAAGAGCTCAAAGTAGTAAAACGTATAAATATTACAAATTCCTCACTGTCGAAACATACGTAATACATACTATTATGAATAGGAAAATATCTCTCTATTCTAGATGAACGACGTTTTTCAAATCTTCATTTTCCAAGCGTTTTGCATTTCCCTCAATGACTACTACAACTCTTACAATTTTTCAAACCATTCATCGTTAACATTCCAAAATATAGAATATTTGATTAAAGAAACAACGATAGAGAACGAAAGTAAAGCCAAGTATTATGTCATTCCATAAGTTCGTGTCGAGTTTTATACCATGGTTTGAACCAATATTTCAAACATACTTTTGAGTTTTATATATAAAAAAAAAAAATAAAGTAGTGGGTTTATACTTACATTCTACTGTTTTTCGTGTTCAGAACTATTGAATAAGAAGCAAAGTAAATTTATCATTAGGACAACTCTAGACCTCGTGTGGCGAAGAATGGTAAAACAAAAATTACGTGAATTTTTTTCTGAAAATTTACCACACCCAATCTATTTTTCAAAGATTTCCCCATCGGATTATCATACATTTCGGGCACTGTAACACTTTTTAGCTGTTAAAAAATTCAAAAACATCTACGAACTAGAAAATCGTATTGAAGAACATTTTAAAGGAAAATCAAAGAAGTTTTATAACGACGGCATTATAATGGCACTACCAGAAAAACGGGATGAAATTATGGAACGAGGAGGCGATTACGTTTTGTGATCAAATTTAAACATGTACTACAAATATTGATCTAACTTTTGGTATAAAGGTTCGACACGAATTTATAAGACGACCTAATTATTTAAAAGTTCAGTCACTTAATGTCGATGCAAAGAAAAAGATCACGCCAAGAGGGTCGTATACATTTTTTTGTACATACATTTAATGGCGTTGCGTCGTTTAAATACAAATTTTGATAACTTGAAATTTGGTTTGAATGAATACAGAGTGTTACACGACCGAGTATCGGCAGTGTCTGAGCCCAAAGGGGCAGCTCTACTTGAAGGCCGACAGCGAGGGTAAGCCTGACCTAACCTTTAATCATCGCTTCCGCAGGAGCCTTGTATCATCATTGCCATATGTATCACACACCCACAGACACATACACACTCATCTATCTATACTCACACACTTGTCACGTTTCACACCGATTGCATTATGCTACATCTTAACCCGATCCGTGTGACCTCCTCTCACGTTACTCTGTATTCTAGAAGCTGCCATTTGCTTGCTTGCTTGCTTTTTCGCGTTCAAATTTCAACAACGAGTCGCGCTGGCAACTTGTTTCACATGCAAGCCGAAGATATATCACCGTTTTTTTTTTTTTTTTTTTTTTTTTTTTTTTTTTTTTTTTTGATCGAACTTTTTAACGAATAACTGTTCGAGTTGAAAGTGTGCTCTTTGACGGGAATAATCCTCGCTCGAACCAGCCCTTGTATCGTATATATACACACACCTCTTTCACCGTATCACGATTTTTCTCCGATATTAATGGCTGTACAGAATGTATCGTGGACCTTCGTTAGAAACTAATAACTGTTACCTTACGAGATACTGCGCTCACGAGAAAATCCATTTTGAAAATCGACGAGACACCTCGTGAATCTTCGAAACGGATTTTCCGTGCCATGTTACGTAACTCCATTATTTCATACTAAATATTGTCGTTATCACGTATTCACACAGACCCCGTACAACAGAGATTCGTTTTTGTCCTGATTATACTCTACCCCTTGATATTATATGGGATATTCCAAGTCGATGTTCGATTTTTTGCAACGGTGTATAGTTACCTCTCCTAGTGGCATTGATGTACCATGAAATTCTATATATATCGATGTACAGTTGTGTCCATAAATGAGAGTAGTTGCATTTCAATGTTAATTAGCTACTCGTGCCTGGGAGGAACTAGTTTCCAGGTCACCAGGTACTGTTTATTGCCCAATGATGAAGAAGACACCGAATAAAGGTTGCGTGAAAGTAAACTAGAAACAGTGAATTGAGTGTCAGTAGGATTGACTACGTCACCTACGTCTTTCCCCGTTCAGTACGAGGCCTGTCAGAGACGTAACGGAACTGTTCACGTAGAAATTTGTATTGTTAAGTTATCTACAGATCAACCTTACCCCCTTCAAAATAGTTTTCTTGGGAAGTTGCTGACTCCTGGAAATATTGTTCCTGCTTTTTAAAATAGTGCTGGAAGTCTTTAACAAAGCAAACTGCTTTCAGTTGGTCGGTTAAAATCTATTGAACGTTGTCCATAGTTCCAAAATTACGACTCTTGAGATAGGTTTGGATTTTTAGGTCATATGGACTTAGATCAGGGGAGCAAGAGAGCTGTAGAACCACAGGAACACCCTCATTGGCAAAAAGCTCGTTCACAGAGAGTACAGCGTACCAGTGAGTGACCCTGTAAACGAATTTTCGATCAGAAAGGGTATTCCTGTGGCACCACAGCCTCCTTACTCCCCTGATCTGAGTCTGTCCGATAGGTTATAACAAACCAACTGAAGGCAGTTCCACTGAAAGACGTCTAGCACTGCTTCCAGAAGTGGGAACAAGTGTCTCCAGCAACTTGTGGCTTCCCAAGGGGTCTATCTCGAAGGGGATAAAGTTGTTTGTAGATAATTTGGTAATAAAAACTTCTACGCTATCAGACCCATCACTTTTCTAACAGGCTTCGTACATCCAAACTTCACTGATCGCACGTCAACGAATCAACCGATCTATCGTCGAAGGCACGATCAGTCGAGGATCCCAGTACACCTCAAACGGAGGTCCAGTTCTCTGATTTCCCTACGAATAACGGCGACGACGATAAATCGTTTCTTATCGTCGATGACGGTATACGCTACACACCCGCCGATATTACCCCGTCGATAACGATCCTTCTCCTATTTGTCTCTGTGTTCTTTCGATAGGACTGACCTCCACGGGCTGCAATTTCCCTTTCGAGGACCTCACCGACGCCGAGGACTCGCTAGTGAGCGACACGGAGGACAATATCGGTACTCGTATGCCTGCCACACACGCATAGCAAACGTGAACCCCGGGGGTAGAGACGAGCGATACAATACCTGTCCCTTTATTCTTGCAGAAAATCTCCCCCACCAACCCCTCGCGAAATATATTCACGATTGCCGCGGGCTGGTGAATGTGACCACGTCGTATACCCGTTATCCCACGAAAACCGTTTTCGTGTGTCTTTTGACACCGTGGACGTCTTATCGATACGTTATATCCGGGTTCGCTTTGTAATCAACGGGCTGGAAAAGAATCGATCGATAAACCCCCTCTTCGTTTGGCCATTCCATGATACACACACACACACACACACAGCCGAACCGTCGTCGTTCTACCCCCGTGTCGTTCGGCGATGTCAAAGCTTTTCAAATGAACACACGTAGTGTCTGTGTAGACACTTCTCCCACTAGACCTACGTGCGGTAGTTTTGTTCCTTGTAAGATCGTTGTGCAGGCCCGCGTAGTGAACACGTATATACATATACACGTTCTGTCGTCGAGCTAATAAACCGAAGAATAAGACAGAGATCTGTCTTTTTCTGTTTCTTTGGTTTGTCTCCACTACCCCTTCTTGCCCCCTCCTTCGTCGACGTGTATTGTCTGTTTTTTTTTTGTTTGTTTTTGTAGCCTGCGAATGAGACAACGTATATTGCTTCGTACCGTCCGTCGTGGGGATACCAACGATTGAAGGGTTCATTACGATTCTCTCTGTTGCTTGGTGTACAGGGTCGCTCGTGGAGTATTGTTACAGGTCGATGATCACGTACAATTTGCATTGGTACGAGGTTTACGTGTTAAGAATCAATACGTCGCGGGTAAAGATGTTTTGTGATATTTATATACCGTTGTTTTCACGTGTCGAGAAGTATTTACAAATGTTTTTATTGTGTTTCCTTCAGATTTTTACGACCCACTCTACCCCCTACTTTGGTATTTCTATGAATGGTATTTTTCATTGTGTGTTCTTTACGAATGCTCTGAACCGTGAATGTTTTCCTTTGCACTGAAATTTATGTTATTATTCTATTTGTTTAGGAACAATAGTATTATACAAATACTATATACGATGTGTCTGCGAAATTGCACTTTAATCTAGTATTAGTTTTGAATCAGCATTAATTTTAAAATTTACTGGACAATTATACAAAAATTGTACGAGATGTCCCACCTAACGTCGGCAATTTCAATATCTCACTTGTTTTTGAGGATACAAAAACATGTGAGGGAACAATGTTATTTGGTTTTACAAATTTTCCTGAAGATCATATTTATCGAATTTTATAAGCCATCGGTGTTTTTTGAAATAGGACTACATTTTTTTATCATCGTTCCTTAATAGTTTAAATCAAGACCAATCCAATGATCTATAGTAGTGTGACCTTCATTTAACCTTGAGTACAAAAAATGAACAAATGTAAGGAAGTAGATTTAGATAGTCAAGCAACTATGATAGAGGGATTAGTGCAAAAAATGTATTGAAGTTGATGCACATCAGTTTGAGTATATAATAAAATAATTTTTTTTAAAATCAGAAGTAAGTGAAATATTTAAGTTACTCATGTTTGGTGGGATACCTTGTATATTATTTAAAAAAAAATATCATTTCAATGAAATTATATGAATTTTTACGACAGACTCGCTGGTTCTTGAACAATGGACCTGTAACAGGTCACATGATTTACCCTGTACAATATTTCCCGAATGAATTTTCAATGTCCTACACGTCAGTATTTCTTCTTAATAACAATTAAATTCAAATTGTCCGTTAGAAGTATTAGTAACGTTTAATACAGGAATACAAATTTTATTCAATACATACGAGTACCCATTGAATTTTTAATGATTTTATAATATACATATATGTATCATAATTCTGAAATGAAATACGATAAATTTTCAACGCGTATAAATATTGTGGAAAGCTTTACAATTTTAGCTCTGAGATCGTCTGTGCGTAAAAAACCCTTCAGAGCGTTCCTTTGTTTTCTGTGTGTTTGCGTATAAATTTTGCCCGATTGTTGGGCTTGTTTGTGTCGTCTTTGTTCGTAGCGGTAGACTAGCCTGTCTCTGTGTGTCTCTATGTGTTTGTTCCCCGTTTATTATCTGTGACGGATTGTCGTACAGTATATCATCCATATCATCATTAAACGCTGAATACTTCATACTGAAAATCATACCGAGTACGAATAGTATTAAATAAAAATAATCAACTGGTACATAATTTTTATCACTGATAAAAATTCTAGTGTACTAGTAAAAGTAAAAATTATATTGTCACAAACTGATTTCATATTAAACAATCAGACAACAGATTTTTTAAAAACGTAAATAGGAACACATGAAACACCGTTTTAGAAATTTAGTATTGATAACAAAATTAATAATATAGAAAGATATAATTTAAAGTAGCAACATTACCGAAATAAAAATCAAGTATGGTAAGTACTTTATCCCTTTAATAAAATACCTTTGATGAAAAGATGTACAAATTTTGTCTAAATCTGTAAGAATTTACAGGATGATTCTGATATTATTATTCACAATTATACCAATAAAAATTGATTATATTCAAACCACGAAGTATAAAATTAGTAAAAAATTCGAGCGTATAATTAAAAATATTATACTGCACAAGTAATCAAATGAATCACAATAAGCAACACTATATGCATGTAATGTTACACGTTGCACTACGATTTAATTTCTCTACGATTTAAAAAAAAAACATACACGTATCATACATCATCTTTCACGATTATTTCTGCATCCTTATTACCGAGGATTCAACACTGAATTTTTCATTTCTATTTCGTTTGCATAATACCGTACAAATTGGACGACTTTTTACGAATGTTTCACAATACGGCTTGATACGAATTTTCTTTTATATATTTTCATTTTTATGCTATACGGTCCGTACTGAATGCGTATGATAATTCCGACCTCAATTTTGTATATTTTTGCATAATACCAACACATCCGGCACTTGGAAACTTGGACTGGATCTCCCCTATTTGATTCTTTTTATCTAACTCGAAATAAAGTTTGCTTTCCGCTTCTTCGCTGTCCGTTCTAGCCTGTATCGTGAGAAACACGTCGTTATAGACGTAACTACACACCACGAATATGAATAGAGTAAAACTATTATGATCTATGAAACTAACTTCCCAATGTGAGACATGTTTAATTGAATATTTCTATCCACTGAAAATGTATTCCTGTTTCTCGTAATGTGATCCACATGATTTATATATACGTGTTCCATGTACAGTGATTCATCAGAAACGGTAGTCGTAATTATCACGTCTGTGTTAAACGATAAGAAAATATACTCGAGATAGCGGCTAAATGGCCTCTCAAATGAATGAAGTGGTGGCAAACGTATTCTTTTAAGGTTAATTTGTAACGGAGGTTAAGGTTATCGGAGAATATCAAAGTGGTTGTTCTTCAATGTTCGCGAGATAACAAAATTTGCTAAGATACACTTGATTAAATGCAATTAAATTAATTGATCTGTCCATATATTTCATAGCGCTAAATCACATAAAGAAGATAAAAATAAAAGGAGTCACGAAACAATACAGTAAATCATCGATGAATGTTCGAAGGATTCTCTGACAAGCAGAGATCCGCAGGTGTAACGCTGTTTTTTTAATGAGGTTTAGTATAGAAATTCTGAAGCCAATGATATTTGTTTCGCATTAGGTTATGAAATCTTTATTGTTCAGTGCCGAGGAGCCTTCGAACACTATTCGAGGATTTACTGCATAAACCTGTTAATAATACAATCCACTGTAGTAGATAGTAATTTTGTTGAATCAAAGTTGAAATCAAATCACAAAAATGTATTCATCGATACATTCTAATGCACGTTGCGTATCGATGTACACAAATTTTTCTAACAACAAGCATAATTAAAGATCGAAGTTAATTTTAGGTCACATTGATCCCAACAGTGTACAAGGGTTGAAAAAGAAACAAAAAGATTTTATGTCCCGATATAATTTCATCTGAAAGAATGTCGACGATCTTGATTCCGCTGGACGAGAAATAACTTTTTAAGATGAATATCTCGCACCTGATTCGTTCTGTAGAAGCCAGACTTATATCTGAAATCTTCAACTCGCTACGGGGATAATTAGGGTGTTCCGTTTCTGGCAAGTCACTCTGCGGCATTATTCTCTCCGGCATTATTCTCTCCGGCATAACGTTTAATATTGTATACCACCTGTTTGATGTACAACGCAACCACGATGTTATCAACGTTTACCGTGAAAATGTTCTGAGCCGTTCATGCCGTTTCTGCTTTTCGCCTTGATAAAACGCATCCCAATCCCCCCGTCCACCCTCATCAGTGTTTATCCACGTGTTATTTCTTCACTATCATCCGCAGCTTCGTGCCCCGTTCTTTGCAACTCTAAATAGCCCTTCTTCACACGTTTCTGTCTTTATATATTTATATTCGATTAGAGTGCGCCAAATAATTCACGGAACATATGTATATTTTATGCTCGTACAGTGTGCTAGATGCGCTAATTGCGATCTCTTTTTTTTTTTTTCACTGAATGTCTATCATCCGTCTCGCATTTTACATCACCATACATTCGTTTGTTGGCATTACACACACTCAGCTCGGTCCAGTCGATCTAGCGTTTACGGAAGATCAGGCAGCGGTTATTCTTGTTTGTGTTTCGTTCTCTTTATTCACGTCGTGATCGAGAGGGTACACTACCTTGTAGGCCTGAAAAAAAAAACAGGTGATTTGAACAATTTTTCTCTCAGGTAAGTGTTGAGTAAAATATTGATCGTTTTGGGGGGTGTTAGGCATTTTAACTGTATTTAGAAATTTTTTTTAAATGGGGGAGTTATGCAACATTGTCTACCGCCATGTCTGGCAGGACCTTATCAGCTGGTACCCAGCAGATCTCCGAAACTATACATCCGGTTAACTTTAAATCTGTACATATTATTCCTTATAAAATTGTCTAAAATGTAGCATACGATTTTTTTACATTTTAATTTGTTGAGTTTTCATGAATTTTCTAAGTCGATAATTTTCAGTAGAAAATACTTTTTTCACTATAAAGCTACCAGTTCTTTATTTATTTAAAATTATTCAAATAATTTTATAAGGAATAATGTTTCCAAATTTGAAGTTAATCGGAAGAATAATTTCGAAGATCTACTGGATGCCACCCGACAAGGTCCTGCCAGACAAGACGGTAGATAATCCTATAACTCCGTCATTTTATACTTTATAAATAGTAACTAACATACGAAAACAAAGTTAATATGTCGCCCAACATCCCTTAAGAAAATCCCAATATTCTACTCAACAATTACTAGAGACAAAAAGTTGATTAATTAACCCATTTTCCTAAGGCCTACAAGGTGTTCCAGCCTCCCATTAAACGATAAAAATCAGATTCCATCGAAATGGGATACGATATCTCGGGTGACTAGTATACCCAATGGCATGGAATCTCGGAGCTTCCTAAGTTTGTGACTCGTCGCGTGAACTGACAAACGTTTCGAAGTTTCTTTGAATTCTAACGATCGACTGCGAACTCTCGAAGCAATCTCACTTGATGCCTTCTCGCTTCAAACTCCGCTCTCTCACACGGTGCGACACGATTGTTTTACCGGCTGGCTGATTATGTTCTTGGTCGTCCAGGTCGTGTTGGATGCCCGCACTTCATGGCGCCGGAAGTGATCCAGCGCAAACAGTACGGGAAACCCGGTGACGTCTGGTCAGCCGGTGTGCTGCTTCATGTGTTACTGACCGGCACGCTACCATTCGTCGGCTCCCGAGACAGACTGCGTGAGGCGATTTGTAGGGGGCGAGTACAGGTATGGATCGACGACGGTCGTTTTAATATCACCACTTTAACCCCTTGCCTTATAACATCGAGTCAGACACGTGATGACGATTTCAAACTGAATTTAGTAAACATATATATTATTTGTTTTCTTTGGGTCGGTATGAAATACTGTTCCGCTGGTATTAACATTTAAGGTTTCGAATAAATGTAACATTTGCCATAAGAATAGAATTTCTTTTGTATCTGAGAAAATATGAACGATAAAGATATTTTTCAGAGTGAAGTAAAAGAAATCGTATGGCAAGGGGTTAAGGTCAATCTCCCTATTTCTAATCACTAGACTACGGATTTTTATGCAAAATTACATTTTCTAAAGTAATTTTTTACGACAGCAGCAAAGATAGGAATTTATTTCTTCTCTTAACTATCGTATTGGGTTCGGAACAAAATAGAAAAGACATTACTATTGGTTCTAATGATAAAGTAAATGCAGTTAGCGGATTAAGTACTGTTACAAAATTTTTGGGTGAATTAATATCGCATCAAGACCACAAGTTTTTATTAACTAAACGCATGTATTTTTGAGGATTTGTGACTGATGACAGAAAATAACGTGTGTCTGGCTACGGACGGCCTTTTTCACTGTGGCAGTCAATGTGTTAATGCTATTAACTTAATAGGCTTAGTAGATCGAAGAATCAACACCCAAAGAACTATTATTAAACAGTTCGATCACAGTTGCGAATTACATTCATGAAAAATAACAAGAACTCTCATTGAATAACATAATAATTTTTTCTTTAATATAATTAATTCTTATCTAATTAATCTTATCTAATTAATTCTTATAAATGTTAACACTAGAACTACCGAAGCAGTCAGAATGACTGGTATGTCGATTCTTTTACCAACATTGATAGAAATAGGAACACGTACATCTTCGATGGTTCTGGTGTTAACTATGAGGCGAAATGCGATTGATTCTTGGATTTATTTGATCAGCGAGGTTGAATGATGGAACTGTCAGTCCACCTGGGACATTTCTATCTGTATTTTTATTTGAGGAATAAATAAATTATTTTTTTTCTCTCTCTTTCGTTCCTCAAATAGAACTATGATATGAGATCTGTGTCAGGATTTATGTTGTATATTCGCATTTATGATTCAAACCTTTTGTATTCCGATAAAATATGGTTGGTTGATACATAAAGTGATTCTATCTTTTTATTTTTCTATGATATTTGCTTAATTTTAATAGTTCATAGTATTCAAATATCCAATAATTTTACATGAAATGTTTTGGATTGTACAACTAGCTGGGATATAATGGGAAATTTAATTAGTCTAACAATCGAATCAGAATTCAAACTATTTAAACAACTGTTTTCAATGGAAAAGGAATAAAGTTGTTTTAAACGCTCGAAAGAATATTTGAGAATATTTCTGAACATGATGAGTTTATTTAACGTAAACATTTTATCCTTGTACATGGTACAATTAATATTGATGTTATTGGAACAAAATATCATATGAAAAATAATGATCAGATATACAGTTTCCAAATTAGCGATTGAAGTACAATCATTTTGCTATATGTTTTGGAATAATAATGCTACTAATGGCAGTAATTCTGTATTTGTAATAATGAAGTAGCACGAAATGCTCCGTATTATTTATTTAGGCAAATAATTTCAAATTAATTATTAACTGAATTGAAAATCAACTTATTAAAAACACTAATTAAAAATTAACTAATATGGGTTTCCAGTATGAAGTTTGCATTATTTAAAAAATAACCCAATTCTTGATGAGGTTTGACACGCAGAAACAATTCGTGTTTCCCGCCATAAGTGCGATGTGGTCTGTGTAGGTGGCGCGATATGCGTTTGAGCGCTCTTTTTCTATCGGACGCTGTACATCGCGCGTAAGTGTAAGCCTCTGCAATAAATCATTTTTATTCATCTTTCTTTACACCCTAACAATTCTCAATCTAATTCGAAACAAATTTACTTAATTGTGTAACACAGTACATCATTTTACTGAGCCAAATATGTATTACATTAAACAGAATGATTGAACTTTAACCTATAGAAGTTCTACATATACACAGTTTCGTTTCGTTATTAAAAAAATTCAGTGATACTTGCTTTCTTTGCCGTAATAAGATTGTCAAGTTCGTTAAACAATATCGTATGTAAAGATTTCTTCTTCAACAATGTTCAAATATTTAAAACTCATAGGTACACTGTGATCGGTGTGTCGGAAGTCCTTCCATTAATGTATTCAAATACTTTTCCAAGATCGATACTTTCGAAACTCAAAACGCGAACGCGTTCAACTAAATAGATGTCTTCCGAGCTAATCCGACCAACTCTATTCTGCACATCCTCGTCTCTGTCGCATAACGAGAAATCACCTGAAATTTGCAGATGGAAACGCCGCTGTGGGACACCATTAGCGAACCCGCAAAGGACCTCATACAAAGAATGCTCACGACAGACGTAAATCACAGGATTACCATTCAGGAAGTCCTCAACCACAAATGGCTTAGAGTAAGTCACATTCTACCGAATGTCACCCGAGACCGAGGATCACCTTAATTTATCCTGTATTTATACATCCCGTGTTCCAATTTCGACAAAACAATATTTAACACTAAATTAAAAATCATTTATTGTCAATCTTTTAAATTCGAACTAACATATTTAAAAGCACGTACTAATTCTAATAAATTAACATCTTCCAATCAATTCAAACGGAAACTTCGGAATCGAATATAAAAGGATCACCCAGATGGTCTTGATTTAAACATAGCCATTCCGTCATCTTACGTTCTTGTGTGCTTAAAAAGTTCGTGGAAAGTCGCGAAATACCTGGGAACGTTTAACGTAGGACGTTGAATGTGAAACGACGGTGATTGAACGTGCAACTGGTATAGGCTGACGGCACCACGCTTACATTCAGGCGTTCATGCTAACAACTTCTATTTAGCAGACGCCACGGGCGTATCTGCGTGTGCTTTTTATATCGTACCAGCCTTTCGATAAACGGCCTCATTTTCTGTTATTATATCCGGCGAATGTGCGTGCGCATGTGCGGATCGTGTATGGTGGTGCAATAAAGTGAGAGAATAACACCTATGCGATACGACGACGGTTAGCCGGTGACCTAAGGTAGCGAAGCTTGGGTATCACCCCATATATCGATGCAATACACGTGCAACTGGGCTATCGATCGCTATAGCAGGGGCAAAGTTCCATCGGTTAATGAAAATAACTGTAACCGGTGTGTATTTTTCCCTGTGTGCTAGTTACAGTTTTTTTTTTTTTTTTCGAACGTGACTGCACATCCGCTGAACCCCTAAGGACATTCCATAGAAACCTACATATAATGGTCATTCCGTCGTCATTTAGAACGAAAGTCGTGACCCAAACATATCCTCTCGTGTCGTATGCATATTTTATACCCTCTGTCTGACGAGCAAATGTCGTCCACACGCCCGATAGAATCTCTTAATGGCCGTTTATTTTGCGATGTTATCGTTCCTAATGGATGATCAATGAAAGCGATTGATTCTTTGGGGAACAAATGTAATTGAAAGTTTTTCGTCCGTGGTTGATTTCAATTTTTATCATGTGGAGGGTTCAATCGATTTTTGTTTCTTAATCGTGTATAATTTTTGTGCGATACTTTTAATGTCTGTAATTGTTCCCTTAAAAGCTTTATTATGTACAGATCACACGTTGAGGGTTTGCATTACGTCGATTCATACCATCAGATGGTGAAGTTGCACGCATGGTAAATGAACTCTGTCGCACTTGCAGGATCGTGACAAGGGCGTGGCCCGGATACATTTAGCCGAAACTATAGACGAGCTTAAGAAATTCAACGCGAGACGAAAACTGAAGGAGGCCGTGAAGGCGGCCGTGTCGTCGTCGAAATGGCACGCCGGGTATACGGAGGTCAATGGCGACAGTTTTTTCGAAATAGGGGATGATGAAGTCATGGCCACAGGTACGAACGTCTGAAGGAACTACCTTTAGAAAGGAATTATTAACATGATATTTGAGAAAAGTTTGAGAATAAGTACAGAATAAACAACAGAAAGTCGGTAGTCGTAATATTATAAGTTTAAATAAACTAATTTTAAATTATTCGAATGAAACTTTACGTAACGCTTTAACCTTTAGAAAGCGTTACGAATGTATTGATTTTCTAAGATACTTTGGAATTTTTAGTCCGCCAGTTCCTTTCCTTCGCAATGATATAATTTATTTAATGATATTCAAGTTGTTCGTAATATCTTGCTTTGTTCATTAAGCATAGTTATTCCTCAGAATTGCATACGAAGGATACCATTAAATTAGATTGAATCGATGTATTTGTCGTATGTTATTTACTGTGTTGGGTCACCTCATAACGGTGAACTTACTTTTTTAGGTGCTGTGGTTGAAATTTTAGACTCTCTAGACGATATCGAAGTACTTCAAGAGAGTGGAAGACTGACACGCAATGAAATTCTGAATGCGGTCGATGATTATCACCTTCGACAGGTTTTAGAGGTATGAACGTTTCTGGAACAGTCACTCGCTTGTTTCCATATTCTCCATAACGATTTTATACTTAAATACTAGCTATAACTACTAAAACTACGTCCATTAGCATATTATTCAGACAATGAAATGCAGTTTTCACTTGTGAAACTTTAGATATGAAGATTACTTTCTCTCAACTTAAGACATAGAGGTTTAAGTTTGCAAACATCCACTTTCAATGTGACCATTCTTCAACTTTCACTAAGGCCTACGATTTAACTAAATTGTACGAACATTATTTCACTACAATAATCACAGCTACAGATTCATCCTTTCCCCACGAAGGTTAAATCACCGACGAGGTACAAGAATAGCCTTTTTATCTTATGGGTGTTGGTGGCCCACCTAAACTGTAGTACCGACACCTTAAAAAGCCTGTGATTTTCGCGACCTCTACGTTATGAGAACGGTGAATCTGCGGTGGATAGTATTACTAAAATGAAAATAGGGCGATGTCGCCCCAGAAGAGTGAGCCGAAAATACACATTGGATGAAGTATCTACTCCTATACCTCGTCTGTGGTTAAATTCACTCACACGTGCCGTGTGTCGATAACGTACCGACGTTCAGCACCAAAAGGATATCCTCCAAATGGACAGCTCTCGCGATAAGTATCTAAACCTGCAGGGTACTTCAATTTATTGCAATTAATTTTTACAGAATCAGGCTAGATCTAAATTTTTCATTGTCGTTACTTTTAATCGAATTACGATTTTCCAAAGATTTCGCTTTACTAACGGTAGATGATGTTCCGCGAAACATGGCGCCACCGTTCGTTTCCCTTACCCCCTCAAGGATCATTTCGCCTCGCCGGCGTGCTCTTATCTCGCCCCTTCCGGGTTTCATTATGTTTATATCCCGAGGGAAGAGGTACGCGGTCTCATTCCGCGGAGGAAAAGGGCGCAAGCGCTCGGCTCGCGGCTATCAAGATGGCTGACGTGCTATTGTGGTAAACAAAATGCCACACAGGCTCGTCGGGAAGTCCCTGGATCGGGATCCACCATCGGTTAGATGTGTGTCTGTGCGTCTTCTTTGTGTCGCATAAAGGGTCACGTGGGCTCGTGTCACCCATGTGTTAGGGATATGACAGGCTGGTTCTAAAGAAAAAAAAAAAAAATAAACCAGAATGCGACTCTGTCAGTTGATGTTCATCGGGGAGGCCGAACTGGCCGGCGACCTCCTTGAAATTGCAGGCCTCCTGGTGAGTAGATCGGTCGAGCATAGATCGTCATGCGTTCGCTTGCAACCCTTCTCTTTCGCCGGCAATGGAAACAATGGCTATCGAGCTGCCCCTACGGTACACGATGCACTCGATGTGACACGATAGGACATCTAAAGGTCTACCAACGAACTAGCGTGCTTCACCGCGAATACGATTATTTAAAACAGGCCACCTCCAGGATTTTGTGTCGCTTGTGTCGTGTGCCAGGTGGGGCCAGTTGTAAAATCGAATGGATGATGATTGTATAAGAATCAATAAATCGAAAACGTAGGGTTAAATATTTTTCGAGAAGTTTAGTATGCAAAAAATTCGAATTTGAAAGTGAGGCTGATTGATGTGTCTAATTATGGTTTGCTGGTTCTCCTTAGGACGAATATGAAGATTGTACGTAATTGTACTAAACCGCTAGAATTACATACATACAAGGAAAACTTGATTATTTTGTCGTGAAAACTGCATTTCATATAGTACACTAAATACAGAAATATATACGTTAAAAATTACAATTAACACGTTCACTTAATACGCAGAATTATGAGGATAATTTATAAACATGTAAATATACACGTGGTTCAATATTCTTTATTATTATATAACTTACAATACGTTTTTAGAAAAGTAATAAAAATTCTCACCGATATAAAGAAATATTGTCTTTGTGAATTCTCGCTCATAGCTTCGAACTGTGAACGTGCTATATGCACATTTATGAAAAAATATTACAGTTATAGTATTTACTTTATATAATGTTTATTAACTAGAACATGTGTAAGCATGTTTGAGTATTATATTAACTAAACATTTTTATAAATATGTTCGTGTCCAGACGAATAGGATAAAGTGATTCATGATATTTTTCAGCTTTACGATAGGATTTCGACTCGAGTTCCAACTCCATGTCGAGCGCCTCAAACAGACGCCGTTCAACGTGCACGAGAAGTCGAGGAACTCCTTCGAGAGATTGAACATTCAGCAATACGAAACATCGACAGAGCCGATCTTCGGGAGCTCCACGAACTTCTGGTCCAGCCGCATATGAGGGTAAGTCCTGAAATGTTTTATTAAAATATATTCTTGTCAACTTGCAAAGAAATCATTGGTATTGGAAATACCATAATGAAAGAAAGTATAAGGTAGGGTATTCGTAAAACTTTAATGATGGTAAAACTTATAAGATATATTAATGTTTTATACGTATTATTGCTGAATGACGTGGATGGTCCAAAGTTCTACTGTGCTTAGAGCATTTATGGCTGTATTCAAGGCTAAGTAAAGCTTTGAAATTGACTGTGCAACAGTTGAGATCAACTTTTATCTAAGAAATTAGGATTACGGTTGTCCATTATTCGTTAACAATTATGCTTATCGCTCAAATCGTTTAAGCAAATCTTCAAGATAGGATAGTGTTCTACGTGTAGTTATTTATGGATTCATACTGCATTAAGTTGCATGGCAATCGTGACTCATAAAATTCTAGCAGTCAAGTTTTACTTCGAATTCTTTATCGATTGGTATAAAAAATATAAACTTTAAATTTACGTTACAAATATTCGGGGCGTCTAATGTTCTGTAAGTAGAGTAACCATACAATTGATCATCCAAACCACATCAAAGTTCACTTTCGATATTGAAAGAGACGCTAAAAATAATTTAAAGCTCATAATTTTTAAAAATATTTATGCATTACTGGTTTTATATATTCTATTACTACTAATTATACAGTAAAATAATCGTAGAATACTAATAATAAAATGGAGGTAAAATATTGTATATATGTAAATCTTTCAGATCAACTAAACAAATGTCCGTTACAAATATAAACCCAAAGTATAGAATGAAACTTCTTTTTTATGAAATTTCTTAATCCAAAATATCAAAGTTTTGTCATTTTTCCCATATACATGCTTTCGAATTCGACTATTGCCACGGCTGACTATTATTGGCAATTTCTACTTACAGCAAGCATCGATAATTATACAATATCCTCTGTTGTTCATTGATATTACTGCCTCCTACACATCTGTTTGTATCATTTCAAGGACGTAAGCAAACAATATGAAACATTATCTTTGTTTGTAAATCTTACTACAAGTAGAAATAATCTATAATGTACCAGCCACACGATCCTCGTCGGTATACCCAATAAATGTTGAAATTCGGTTTTCTTGGGAACAGAGTTTGGACAATCGCCATCAGCCAGCTGAACTTAACACTATACACAGAGTTGGGCACGAAATTAGGCACGTGGTCGAAATTCGGTCCCCTTACCCTACAATTAAACTGATTTTAATCTTCGCGTAATAAAAATACAGGTAACAGGGTCGATTCTTCGTTAATCGAAAATACGATCGAAACGAATCAGGACGATCATCGTAAAATCGTTTCCCTCGCTATCAATTCCCGTTTCTCGACGACGCATCGATACCCCGATACACCCCTCGGGGGGCGTTCCCGCGCAATTGCATCCCCCTTATTTTTTCGGCGTCGTCGACGGTGGTGTATTTACCGCGGTGTTTGACATTGCCCGCGATACACCGTAAATAGGGTGCAGAAATGTAGGTCGATCGTTAAAATTCTCATTTAAAAATTCCGTGGCTGTAGCGAAAGGAACACGTAAAAGAGGGGAAAAGACCTGCTGCGAAAGAGAGAAAGAGAGAAAGCAGTTGGGCCGAGTAAAGGTAGACTAAAAGAGTGGCGCGAAGGGGGGAGGGTGCGACGTTACCGATGAAAAGAACCAGTTCTGATAGTCGAATGGATCTGTGATCCTCCGCGAACCGACTTATTAATTTTTTTTGTCCTTTTCACCCGAGAGCGTGTTAGACAGTCATTGTCCCGCGTTTGTTACGAACGGGATTACGTCGCCCGATTTATGTCCAGTTTAACGCTGATGAAACGTGTAATCAATCTGCCGTTCCGCGCCAGAGAGATATCATGCTCCATTCTAAATTCGAAGGACATCGATATGGTGGCCTACTTTGTCACGAGAAGGATAATATACAAGGCCGTTGGACGAATATAGAGAGACGACTTGTCAAGCATTAACAGTTGTTGTATTCTTAATTCGTTTCCAACCGTCGATTTAATTATAGCGGGAGCTTTTAAGCAACAGTTCTGAACGGTACGTATTCCTATAGAATATTGATGATATGACCAGTTTTGAGGTGGCTAGAATTAACTGACAGTGTGCAATTAATAGGATAAAAGAAGTGGGGAACGTAATGTTTATTGAAGAAACCTACTAAATATCTGATTGCACTTCAGGGGAAATATTAATATAATAGATTATAGATAGAATAGACAATGTTTTCTAATTATATCTCATTAAGTCCAAATTACCATTATTTCTTGCGACAGTTGTGTTCAGTCATTTTCAATTTTTATTTCATTACGTGAAATATCTTAAGTTAAAGAACAGTACTTCATGCAAAATTCCACTAGTGTCACCTTGTTGAACGTATGAAATTGCTACGTAAATGAATCAGTTTCTTTTCGCTCTCCTGAAAAATTACATGTTCTCGACTTGTGACATTTTTCTTGCATCGATGCAATATGTCCGTATAAACACAATTAACCCTTCGAAGCATAAAAACAAAATTTTCTTTTATTTACATGAATGTTAATAAATAAAGGCCAGGAAGTTTTTTATCATATCTTCTTTGTTTTCTTTATAAAAAATTCCCAAGTATCACCTTTCTTTCGGGCCGCTAACGGAGAACGGGGCCTTAATCTATTAACCGAACTGAATTTAAGGAAAATTTGTTTTGGTAGAAACTTCAGTCATTTTTATTAAATTCAATGATAAACGTATTGAGCTAATTATAGCTAATTATCCCGTTCACGTTTTATCTTCACTCGGTAATCCTCGTAGTGTATAGACGGTTAGAGATCCCGTATCCGAAATACCGTTTACATAACCGTTCTCGGTCGACGACGCGACGCATCAAACGCTTCGCCAATAACGGGGCAACAGCTTACCGTCTTGCCTACCGGAAACGACACTAGAAAGGAAATGTTTGTCAACAGTTTCCCTAACTGTTGCGTCAGGTGTGTTCTGAATGTTCGATAGTGTTTACAATCGATCAATCTCATTGAAAACCTTCCATCCAGGAGGAGTGTGGAGCACCGGAGGAGTTCGGTAAGAACTTAACTCCCTTGTCTGCCATTTGTTTATCGGAGAATGGAACGTCTCCCACGAACTTGACGTGAATGTTTCGGGAAACATCTCTGCAACCTTCGTCCTCCGTGTTTCTGCGATTCACTTCGTGTTTCTGAGATTGATGTTTCGAAGGGGACATGTTATTAAATTATCACCCGTTCATATATTACGTTGTTTTCTATTCATTAAGTACGGAAAAAAATTCTGCACCTTTGCAGTACAAATTTGAGGGGTCATGAAAGTTTAAACATATAATTGTGTTGAAACCACATTTGGATAATAGCACTTCTAATTTTCTTCTTTAACTTTTATTTCTTGAACCCTTTAACGCCCAGATCCGTAAATCGTTATTTCAAAATTATGAGACTGATATACATGTTGTATTTTGTTATTTTGAAGTCGAAAATATCGATATTGCATAGACCTATTTTTTCCATTTTTTTTTCTTTTTTAAATTTCTTGACTGAAAACGTGAAGATCTATTTCACATCAGTGACAATATGGCTTCAAAGAGGACCCAAGTATGTCGCACTCATCGAGACAATACTGTAATATTATCACTACTGATAATATGAATAAACACCTAAAATATATATTAATATAACATTTGAATGAGGTGAAATTTCATCCATAGTAGCTTTTAAGGATAAATATACGTTTTCGTCATTCTTTCTGACACCTTTATTACACACTACTCGTCAATTACAATATTGAGCTCGTCAGCAAATTCACGAGCGTAGAATGACAAAAAATCCGAACGGAACCATATGTTCCGAATGAACCGTTGTCTCGCAGAGGATCGTACAAGTTTTCGCCAATTAGATTGCACGGAATTGCTCCTGGCAGCGAAGCGGTTCTCCCATTTTTGTCCTCCGTGCTATACAGAGTGAGTCACCTAACGTGTGCACCTCAAATATCTTCGTTCATTTTCAAGATACGTCAATTGTCTTAAAGACGAAGTTGAATGGTTCAATGGGGCTCACACAATACCAAACATTTGTTGTTTCTATGTTATTTTTTTTAAAGATATCACCTTCAATTTTTTTAAATGGCATCACCCTTTTTTAAACACCTACAATGATAGACCCTTTCATTAGGAATTCAGTGACTATAATTATGCAAGGTCATTCAAGATCACGGAAAAAGGGTAGTTCCATTTAAAAAAATGTAGGTAACCTTGATATCTCTAAAAAAAAATGGTTAAAAAAAAATTTTGTGGCATCGTGTGAGCCTCATTGAACCATTCAACTTTGTCCTTAGGACACTTTACATATTTTTAAAAGCAACAAAGATATTTTAGGTGCAAACGTTAGGTGACTCACACAGTATACACACGAGTTACTGTTCACGGGTGGAGCTCCTTGCGCCCGTCCGTATCGTGTGTCGTTCTTGTTTTCTTCTTATTCTTAACCGGGATCGGCCAATATTGATCATTAGCCCGGGGACGGCTGTACAGTTTTAGGTCGGACCCGTACCACCGATTCTGGCAAGGGGAGGACGCATGAACGCTCGTTCGTTACATGGTCACCAGTCCAATCGGTGACCCAGTGTAGTTTAACTTCGGTGATCTGAGGAGAATCGGGACATTCGCTCTGGTACATTCGTCGACTTTTCCACGTCCATGTGGGGCCACGGACACACGTAAACGTGACACGAACTCGGTGATAGAGGGGAACATCGTGTGCTATTCACTCCCTGTACGCATGTACAGCGCCCAAGTGATTCTTTCAGCACGTATATGTACATACGTACACGGTCCGTACCGGCGGGAATCACCGAAGCACTATGCACCATCGCGTAATGCCTTCGGGGTGATCTGATCGTACGATCTCTATTCGCGCGAATGTTCAAATTTCGAATTTTATATTCACAGCATATATAATAT